TAATTTCATATGAAAACTTATGGAATTTTAGTAATTAAAATTCATAAATTTTACTATTAATCTGATTTTTTTTTTTTCAACCTTCAACTAATTTATTGTTTCTCCAAACTTCTAAGCAACTCTGTATAGCATTTATTAATATAGAGATATGAACCTCATTTAATTAATGATTTTAAAATAAATATTTTAAGATAAATTACATTAATTACCTTTAAAATTTGAAAAAATATTGTAAGCTTTATAATTTTGATATAATTATGTTGATATATTTTTTAATAAAGTTAAATAGACCAAAATTAATATAAATTATGAAGACACAACGATATACAATGCAAAAATATATATTTCAATATAAAAACAATGGCTACATTATTATTTTTATTTATTTATATGAGTAATAAATTTATGATGAAAAAGAAACCAAATATTATATGAACTAAAACTTTAAGAGAGCTTAGTATAGTTATGCCAAATTTATAAACTTATTGTATATATATATATTTTTTAAATCTTAAAAGAGGTAAATGTAATTTACCTAATATTTTAAATTCAAATACTATTCGATTCATTTGTTAAAAGTCTTGTTGGAAGACGTGTTAACAATATTTAAAAATAGAGAAAATTAGTCTAAGGTTCCTCTCCCATTTTTAGTAATTGAAGAAATTCACAATATTATTTTGTGATGTGTAAGGTCCCACACCCTTGACACCCATATATCACAAAGAAATTTGATTATCTCAAATCAAACCCGCATCTCCTTCTCTTCCTCTCTTTCTGCTCTTCTCTCTCCAACAAACTCCACCTCTATCACCGTCGTCGACAACTCTTTCCTACTGTTGCCGCCATCTTCTCTTGCATCTCCTCTCACGAGGATGAGAGGCGTCAGAACGCTCCGCTAGCGTCAGAGACAGCAACGAGAGTGATGTAGGCCATGCATGGTGTCTCGTTCAGTAGATTGGCACCTGGTTAGGTAAATCAAGTCTTTGAAGATCAATGGATCCATTAGCTTAGAAGCTTGAGACCACCTACAACCACAAATCACAACTGACAGAGACAAAGATGTTGGTTTTACATTTTGTTTTTGTTTTCTACTGTTATCAATCTTGCGTTACTTGGAGAAGTTGAACAATTATAAATTTTCCTTATACCTCAAAAATAAATAAATAAATAAATAAAATAAATAATAATTCTACAGACACACACACACATATATATATGTATAGTGTATGGAGTTCTCCGATCCACACCTTGCACTTGAATTTCTCTCTCTCTCTCTCTCTCTCTCTATATATATATATATATACAAATTTTCATTGGACTATGAAATAATTGAACACCAACTTGATACTTATCAATAAATCGTCTGTCATCTTCAATTAGTTTTGATTCCTATTCAAGTTTTCTGGCTATATAATCTTTGATGACAGAGAGAGTGAGACATGGATGTCTGGACAGGGTCTGAAGAACAATAATAGCAAGCAAGATGTTATCCCTCTCAATATAAGTCAAAATTTCCTTAACTTTTTTTGAGAAATCTTCTCTAAGTTCACCAACTTCAATACATTTTCCCAAAGGGTTGAATCACCTCCCTTACCTGAATATGTGTTTTGTTTTTTGTGATCTTGAAAGTGAATTTCTCTGGACTTTTATTCAGTCCAGAGAAAATTAATCCAGAGAAATTTGATGTTGATGATGTGTAAAATTTTCTCTGTAATATGTATAGAGAAATTTGGTGTTGGTGATGTGTAAAATTTTCTCTGTGATGTGTCTAGAGAAATTTGGTGTTTGAAATGTGTAAAATTTTCTTAGTGATATGTCCAGAGAAATTTGGTGTTGGAGATGTGTAAAATTTTCTCAATGATGTGTCCAGAGAAATTTGGTGTTGGAGATGTATAAAATTTTTCTCTGTGATGTGTCAAGAGAAATTTGGTGTTGGTGACGTGTAAAATTTTCTCTGTGATTTGGTGTTGGTAATGTGTAAAATTTTCTCTGTGACTTAAAATTTGGTGTTGGTGATGTGTAAACTTTCTTTGTGATGTGTTTAGAGAAATTTGGTATTGGAGATGTGTAAATTTTTCTCTGTCATGTGTCCAGAGAAATTTGGTGTTGGAGATGTGTAAAATTTTCTCCGTCATATGTCCAGAGAAATTTTTTTTGTGAAGTGTAAAATTTTCTCTGTGATGTGTCTAGAGAAAATTGATGTCGGAAATATGTAAAATTTTCTTTGGATCAAATTTTGTTTGGAAAGTCCAAAGAAATTCTCTAGATCAAATTTTCTCTAGATTGATACTGAGGGACCTTAGATATTATGAAAATATTAGACATCTTTTATGTTATAAAATTTTAATATCAGAGACCTTAAAACAAAAAAAAAAAAATCTCCTTAAAAATATTTCCTGCACTTATTCTTAAGAAATTATATATATACGATATTATTATGACTCATGTTGACATGTGTCTCAATTACACTAATTAGTTATATTTTATTCTAGTGTTTTGAAATTTGTTAGATTATTATTTGGGACAATTAAAATTTAATCTTTTAATTTATTTTCAATTTAAATCATTAATCTATTTTTGTTAAATAAAACCAATAAAAAAGAGTATTTGAGTAATTAAACTCGATTTAGGTTACTTAAAATATTTAAAATACCATTTTTATTGAGTTTAATAACAAAAATATTCATTTTTTTTATTGATTTTATTTTATGAAAATAGAAAAATGGTTTAAATTGAAAACAAATCAAAACATTTAGGATTTAAATTGATAAAATAAAAAATTTAAGATTTATTTTGTTACAAAGTTCAAACTCTAGGTTTTATTTTCTGATTTTCGCTTACTATTTCCATAGAGTGGTGCTACATAGACCAATTAGTGTAGTAACTAGTGTACCAACATTAGTTATGACATTATTATTAACCACATTCATTAATAACATTACAAATACCAAAAATTTCTTAAATTATGTCATATCATCAATTGATACACCAGTTGGTACATTAATTAGTTCATATAGCATTATTCATTTTCATATATATAAAAAGGTGAAATATTAATTACAGTGTGGGTTGTATACAAATTCAAACATTCAACAATAAATACATTTAATTAATGAGTAGTTAAAAATAAAAAAATTTTTAGTATTTTTTTAATACTTTAAATAATTTTTTTAAAAAACTTTCTAGATGCATTTAAAAAGTATAATAATTGTTTAAATTTTTTAAAAAAAAATTCACTAAATTCAAAAAATATAAAAACTCAGTATATTTTCATAAGTACAGAAAAAATTATGAGTTGTATAACGATAACATACATTTATTAAGTAGTTGAGAAATAAATAATAATTCATCTAATATGTTTTATAATTTCTTATTTACTAGGAGGATAATGTTAACATTATCACATAATATTCTGAAACTATCAAAAGTAATTTCCTTACTACAAGCAAGGAGATGTATCTAAGTAATTTCCTTAATACAAACAAGGAGATGTAGAGAGCAGTTGAGAGAAGTAGGAAGAGATCAAATGGTGATATTCGTAATTCTGCTCGGGTTGCTTTGATCTTTCTTGAAATCGTCATCAAAATCACACCATTCTTGGAGAAGTTATTGATTGCTCATGAGGTACTGTCATGTGATGTCCTATGTGTTTTCTAATTGGTAAAGAGAAAAAGATTCACAATTTTATATTGAGTTATTAAAAAACATAAAAGAACATGAAAATTTGTGATTGACTAAAAAACTTGACCACGTGACGTCCCTAAATCAACAAATAATTTTTCCATCCTTGAGGTTCCATTCTCTGTGACAGTAGTTGTCGAATAAATTGAATACAAACACGTATCTACTACTACTAGTACTGCCTCTCCCTTTCAACTGGCAACAATTATTTATTTATTTAATTTTTTTTTTTTTTTTTTTGGTTTTTTTATCGGCAAATTACAACAATAAATATAACTTTTTCAGTTGCTCCTCAACAAAGCCAATCTCATACAATTATCTGATCGATTGTTTGAACTACCCCAATGCCGTTCAATGGGATGCTTTTATGTACACTTATCTTGCAAAAAGATGCCGCGTAACATTTCATCACCCCTATTTGGGCTACATCCGGCTTGGGAAGTCTCTCTTATTCTGTGTCATTTTTTTCATACTACGTGAAGTGTTAATATGTTATTTTTTTATTTAATTTTTAATAAAAGTTAGTTTTAAAAATAAATTGAGACAAACTTGATACATGACGGGTCAAAATAAAAATAAAAAAATTAAATTAAAATAAAAAAATGACCAAATATAAATGAACCAAAATATAATTTACCATAACAAATATGATAACAAGTCATAATTTACATAATTAAATGATCTGTAATATTTATGTCACATTGCTCATATTGTAAGCATAATAGTTCATGATTTTTACTTTAAGTAAATTCATGGGCAAATTTGCCTGAGCTTAGCCCTGTTAATACAAACCCCTCGCTCCTTCCCCCCCCCCCCCCAAAACAAAAATTCTGGACAAAAATTCAATTTATCCCCTTATAATTTGGCTCATATACGGATTACCTTTCATATTTAGAAATAATTACATAACTTTTTTATAATTTATGAACCAAAATGCATCGTTAAAGCCGTTAACGATTTAATAAAAAAGAATAAAATATCATGTATATAAGTAACTTAAGTGTGCAAATTACGGATATTTTCATTATTTGTTTGAAAGACAAAATGTAATTTAACTCTTTGTACTTTATTTTAATGTGTAATTCATCACATTGAAATTTAAAGATGAGTATATCACTTTTTATGTCCGCCACGTATTTCGCATTTGCTATTAAGTTAAACAAAATATTTAACGATATATTTCAATCCAACAAAATTATATGAATATTTTCATATGAGAGGGATAAGGGATAGTGAAATTTGCCCTAAATTCGTCATTCGAATTGAAGAGATTAAATATTGATTACTTTAATCTAAAAATTTTGTAACTCGAGAGAGAGTTAGCAAGAGATCAAATGGCTACCTTAGTCATTCTGCTCTTGTTTCTCGACCTCTCGGCAGGACTCAGAGCAGGAGCAGCAGCAACAGGACCTGAGGATTGCAAGCCAACAGGATGCAATAGCGACCGCCCAAAGATACGGTACCCATTCCGGCTAAAGGACGATGAGCAGCAGCAGCCAGAACACTGTGGCTATCCTGGCTTCGATCTTTCTTGTGATCATCCAAACCACACCATGCTTGAGCTTCCATTCTCTGTTAAAGTAGCAGTCAAAGAAATCGACTACATATCTCAGTTGATACACACATATGACCCTCATGGCTGCTTTCCTCGACTGCTTCAAAACCTCAGCTTATATACGACTGCCTCTCCCTTCCAACTAGCAACGAATTACAAGTACAATTTTAGCTTTTTCAGTTGCTCCTCAACTGAGCCAATCTCATACAATCCGATCACTTGTCTTAGTAGTGACCCCAATCACAAAGTTTATGCCTTTCGGTCGGACTATTTTATGTCCGATTATCCCTTATTATCTTGCAAAAAGATGTCGTTTAAGATTTCATCGCCAATTCCATATGGCATATTTTACCAGCGGCCATATCAGCTTACATTGAATTGGTTCAAACCGACATGTGGGATCTGTGAAGCGCAAAGCAAGTATTGTAGAATGAAGGATAACAGCAGTGATCATGAAACTGAATGCGTTGACGACGCACCAAACTCACCCATTACAGGTACTTCTCTACTTTCTCATATTTTACTGTTTTTTAGATCATCTCTCCCATTACATGCTTAGAATGAACATCTTTATTCTAATCTAATATAAATAAATACTAGGAGGCATGTCTAAAATTTAAAATAATAGTTAGTAGTATTTGAAAGAGTTGGATTGATAATTATAGCAGTTAATTGAATCAGTTGAATTTAAGAGAATTTTTAGAGCATTTATCAAAGGTATGTTGAAAAAATAAAAAATAAAAATGTGATAGTTTATACCAAATCAAGTCTAGACTTTATATAATATATAATAACAACAGGAAAAAAAAAAAAAAAAGTTCACTATGTGCACCTTCTCAGATATAATTTCTACCATTTTTTTTTACTATAAAAGTATTTTTCATTAATTTTCATTTTCAATCAAATCAATCACCAAAAAATATAGAAAACATATAATTTCTATCAAAACAGAGCCACAGCTTTCGAATTCATGTACCACTATGAGATTTAAATTCAATGTTTCTTGGAGACAGAACTTTAAGATCATATTAGTTCACAAATTATTTGGAATGTTTAATTAATCAGGAGAGTGTAACTTTATTTATTTATTTCTCAATACAGTCTGCACATCTTTATTTATTTTGTAAGCACTATTTCATTTGTGACTTCGGATAGACATAGGTTTATGATTGATATTTCAGCTCACAAGATAAACTGGGTCAGTTTTTAGGCTTGTTTAATTTTTGGGTTGGACTTGGAATTTAGATTTCTAGCCTACTCTACAAATAAAATATTTCTATAATTTTAAATGTATTATTTATATAAAAGTATTAGAAATTAATTATTTATAATTCCATTCTTCCAAGAATTTTTTAGTTCGAAAGCTTATATTATGCTGTTGAATTTATTACCCAATTTTTAACAATTAATTACTTAAGCTAACTTTGTTTCTCTTTTGTGTTGCCCCTTTTCCCTTTGTTTTTCCCTTTGTATGATGACCGTTATTATTGTTATTTTTTCCTTTTTGCTCATTTCACGAAAGGCCTATGCTGTTATTTATAGTGACCTCAATCTCAAATTTGATGAGTGGCTTATAGATGGAATCAATTTCCTCCTTTTTTATTTTTTTATTTTATTAAATCACATGTTTATAGGACTTGGGAATTACAATGTCCTTAGGACTAGGCTTGGGGGAAACTTCCATTTGTGCACCAATTTTTTTTCTCAACTAATACTAATTTTTTATGTTCATATATCAATTATTGAATACAAATTAATAAATCAAATATCAACTACATAACAGAAAATCAATTATTCGGATATCAAGTATTAAATTGGGATTTTCCATTTGGTAGTTGATATTTGAACTATTAATTTTTGTCCGGTACTTGATATTTGAATAAGAAAATGGTGTGAATTGAGAAATTTTGTGACGTAGAAATGGAAGCTCCTGTGTCTGGGTTAACCACATCAGCTTGATGCTTCGGCTGCACCAAGTTTGAGAAGACACAAAGGCCATGTTTGTTTGGGCAGACATGTGCATGAGATTGGACTAACAGTCTAATCAAGTTATTAATCCGATGTTTGGTTAAAAAATTGAAGTATCGAATAACAATTTATCCGGGTATGGTACCCTACATATGATGGACTATTCAATCTCACATAAGGGGTGGGATATAAATTAGGAGACTAAGTCAAATTCTGGACTAACTTATCAAATAACCATAATAGAGGTATTATGGTTAATATATTGAATATTCCATGTTCTGTCATGTCATATACATTCCAATCCCCTTAAAGAAATATTGGGTTGTATAATATTTTGTTAATCCCTCCTTATAATCTTAACTCAATCCAAACATAGGATAAGATATACAATCCAAAATGATTCATAGTCTGAGGACTATTAGTCATGAAAATGCTAATCCAACCAAATACAGTCTGCTCAAACAAACATGGCCAAAGTCTTTTAATAGGTAGTGTAATCCCAAGCCGACTAATGTCCACTGGGCTTCTCATCAAATGCAAGGGAAATTATATAATACTCCCAAAACACCTTGTGACCATACTCCAAATCAATTACCAATTACTTAGCCCCCATATTGTTCCGCATCCCCAACATAAATTGTGGGCACGTACCACTTTCCACCAATCAAAATCTTATAGAGTACCACGTGTTCATACTACAGGAGTACTGAATAATCATCTCAGATTCAAGATGTAAGAATTTTAATTAGAATAATGATATATAAATAAAAAAAATATACATAAATTTTAGGAAAAATTATAAATAAAAAAAACTCAGCATTTTATTTTGGTAACAAAATAAATCTTGAGTTTAAATTTTGTCAATTTAAACCCTTTTTTTTTTTTCCAATCTAAACCATTCACCTATTTTTGTTAAATAAAACTGACGGAAAAAATGATATTTTAACTATTAAACTCAATATAAGTGTACATAAAATGTCTAAAATATTATTTTCGTTGATTTTTTTTTTTATCAGCAAAAGAAAAGACTTTATTAATGCATTCAACATATAACACATATGAAATTACATCAATAAATGAGAGGTAATAGTAAAAAGCATCATAGTATACTTTCAGGGACGGAATCAGTATTTCATTACTAGAGGAGCTAAAATTTGAATTAAAAATTTCACCATATACACTAGCAAACATGTATATATAATATGATATCTAAGTTATATATACACACAAAAATAAATAAATAAATCAAACACTATGGAAGTAATTTGGTATTGGATGAAAAAGTTTTTTGTGCAAAATAAAAAGAGAAATCAAAGTCGGAGAAGAGTGAGATATATAATTTTTGTTGAAGCAAACAATATCTTTCACAGAAGGAGGGGGACATTGCCCTCCATAGCCTTCTCCTAATTCCATCTCTAAATTCCAACTATGTTGGCACCAAGAAAAACACTTAATTATTTGCTAGCTCCAACCAAAAAGGTTGGTGAGAAACCAACAGAAAGAGGGGAAGCAAACAAATAACAATCCTCAACAATACATCAGCAAATGCCCCTAACTAGTTGAGCTCACCACGTTAGCTAAGAGCCTTAATAAATCTCAGCAGCAAGAACCAGCAAGAACTGCTTCCACCTGAAAATAGAAAAATGGTTTAAATTGAAAACAAATCAAAACATTTAGGATTTAAATTGATAAAATAAAAAATTTAAGATTTATTTTGTTACAAAGTTCAAACTCTAGGTTTTATTTTCTGATTTTCGCTTACTATTTCCATAGAGTGGTGCTACATAGACCAATTAGTGTAGTAACTAGTGTACCAACATTAGTTATGACATTATTATTAACCACATTCATTAATAACATTACAAATACCAAAATTTCTTAAATTATGTCATATCATCAATTGATACACCAGTTGGTACATTAATTAGTTCATATAGCATTATTCATTTTCATATATATAAAAAGGTGAAATATTAATTACAGTGTGGGTTGTATACAAATTCAAACATTCAACAATAAATACATTTAATTAATGAGTAGTTAAAAATAAAAAGTTATAAATTAAATGAGTAGTTAAAATTCAAAACTTAACAAAATCCATCACTAAATACACTTTTACTAGTGTCTAAGGACATTTATTAGCATTAGGCATTAAATTTTTGATAATTATTTTTAAATAAGGAAATTAATCATATGTATCTATATAGACGGTAATATAAGAAGGTGATAAAAAAAATTGGTGATATATAACATGTCTTCTTATTTTTATACAGAATGTACATTTTTTAAAACTTCTTGTTTAAGTAGATAGGTTAACAAAATTTCTAAAGTCATATTTTGAAATTATATACTTTGAAAATATAATTTTAATTAATTTGTAGTAAAAAAATAACCTTGTTCAGTCTATTCTGTTTTTTTTTTTTTTTTAAATTGAGTTTTTTTTTTCCTCATTTTTTTTTTAAATTTTTAGTATTTTTTTAATACTTTAAATAAATTTTTTAAAAAACTTTCTAGATGCATTTAAAAAGTATAATAATTGTTTAAATTTTTTAAAAAAAATTCACTAAATTCAAAAAATATAAAAACTCAGTATATTTTCATAAGTACAGAAAAAATTATGAGTTGTATAATGATAACATACATTTATTAAGTAGTTGAGAAATAAATAATAATTCATCTAATATGTTTTATAATTTCTTATTTACTAGGAGGATAATGTTAACATTATCACATAATATTCTGAAACTATCAAAGTAATTTCCTTACTACAAGCAAGGAGATGTAGAGAGCAGTTGAGAGAAGTAGGAAGAGATCAAATGGTGATATTCGTAATTCTGCTCTGGTTGCTTTGATCTTTCTTGAAATCGTCATAAAAATCACACCATTTTTGGAGAAGTTATTGATTGGTCATGAGGTACTGTCATGTGATGTCCTATGTGTTTTCTATTTGGTGAAGAGAAAAAGATTCACAATTTTATATTGAGTTATTGAAAAACATAAAGGAACATGAAAATTTGTGATTGACTAAAAATTTAACCACGTTACGTCCCTAAATCAACAAATAATTTTTCCACCCTTGAGGTTCCATTCTCTGTCAAAGTAGTTGTCCAATAAATTGAATTCAAATACGTACATATTACTACTGGTACTGCCTCTCCCCTTCAACTGGCAACAATTATTTAATTTATTTAATTTTTTATTGGGAACGAATTAGAACAATAATTATAGCTTTTTCAGTTGCTCCTCAACAAAGCCAATCTCATACAATTATCTGATTGATTGTTTTAGTGACCCCAATGCCGTTCAATGGGATGAGTTTATGTACAATTATCTTGCAAAAAGATGCCGCATAACATTTCATCACCCCTATTTGGGCTACATCCGGCTTGGGAAGTCTCTCTTATTCTTTGTCATTTTTTTTATACTACGTGAAGTGTTAATATGTTATTTTTTATTTAATTTTTAATAAAAGTTAGTTTTAAAAATAAATTGAGAAAAACTTGATACATGACGGGTCAAAATAAAAATAAAAAAATTAAATTAAAGTAAAAAGTGACCAAATATAAATGAACCAAAATATAATTTACCATAACAAATATGATAACAAGTCATAATTTGCATAATTAAATGACCTGCAATATTTATGTCACATTGCTCATATTGTAAGGATAATAGTTCATGATTTTTACTTTAAGTAAATTCATGGGCAAATTTTTTATATGCAGAAACAAAAAAATGCCCCCCCCCCAAAAAAAAAAAACACAAAAAAAAAACAAAACAAAAAGAAAAATTATGGACAAAATTCAATTTATCTCCTTATAATTTGGCTCATATACGGATTACCTTTCATATTTAGAAATAACTACATAACTTTTTCATAGTTTATGAACCGGAGTGCACCGTTAAACCTGTTAACGATTTAATAAAAAAGAATAAAATATCATGTATATAAGTAACCTAAGTGTGTAAATTACAGATATTTTCGTTATTTGTTTGGAAGACAAAATGTAATTTAACTCTTTGTACTTTATTTTGTGTGTAATTTATCACATTGAAATTTAAAGATTAGTATATCACTTCTTATGTCTGACACGTATTTCACATTTGCTATTAAGTTAAACAAAATATTCAACGATATATTTCAATCCACGAACTACAACAAAATTATGTGAATATTTTCATATGAGAGGGATAAGGGATAGTGAAATTTGCCCTAAATTCGTCATTCGAATTGAAGAGATTAAATATTGATTACTTTAATCTAAAAATTTTGTAACTCGAGAGAGAGTTAGCAAGAGATCAAATGGCTACCTTACTAATTCTGCTCTTGTTTCTCGACCTCTCGGCAGGACTCAGAGCAGGAGCAGCAGCAACAGAACATGAGGATTGCAAGCCAACACGATGCAATAGCGACGGCCCAAAGATACGGTACCCATTCCGGCTAAAGGACGATGAGCAGCCAGAACACTGTGGCTATCCTGGCTTCGATCTTTCTTGCGATCATCAAAACCACACCATGCTTGAGCTTCCATTCTCTGTTAAAGTAGCAGTCAAAGAAATCGACTACATATCTCAGTTGATACACACATATGACCCTCATGGCTGCTTTCCTCGACTGCTTCAAAACCTCAGCTTATATACGACTGCCTCTCCCTTCCAACTAGCAACGAATGACAAGTTCAATTTTAGCTTTTTCAGTTGCTCCTCAACTGAGCCAATCTCATACAATCCGATCACTTGTCTTAGTAGTGACCCCAATCACAAAGTTTATGCCTTTTGGTCGGACTATTTTATGTCCGATTATCCCTTATTATCTTGCCAAAAGATGTCGTTTAAGATTTCATCGCCAATTCCATATGACATATTTTACCAGCAGCCATATCAGCTTACATTGAATTGGTTCAAACCGACATGTGGGATCTGTGAAGCGCAAAGTAAGTATTGTAGAATGAAGGATAACAGCAGTGATCATGAAACTGAATGCGTTGACGACACACCAAACTCACCCATTACAGGTACTTCTCTACTTTCTCATATTTTACTGGTTTTTAGATCAACTCTCCCATTACATGCTTAGAATGAACATCTTTATTCTAATCTAATATAAATAAATACTAGAGGGCATGTCTAAAATTTAAAATAATAGTTAGTAGTATTTGAAAGAGTTGGATTGATAATTATAGCAGTTAATTGAATAAGTTGAATTTAAGAGAATTTTTAGAGTATTTATCAAAGGTATTTTGAAAAAATAAAAATAAAAAATGTGATAGTATATACCAAATCAAGTCTAGACTTTATATAATATATAATAATAACAGAAAAAAAAAAAAGTTTGCTATGTGCACCTTCTAAGATATAATTTCTACCAATTTTATTTATTTATTTTGTTGACTATAAAAGTATTTTTCATTAATTTTCATTTTCAATCAAATCAATCACCAAAAAATATAGAAAACATATAATTTCTATCAAAACAGAGCCATAGCTTTCGAACTCATGTACCACTATGAGATTTAAATTCAATGTTTCTTGGGGACAGAACTTTAAGATCATATTAGTTCACAAATTATTTGGAATGTTTAATCAATCAGGAGAGTGTAACTTTATTTATTTATTTCTCAATACAGTCCTCACATCTTTATTTATTTTGTAAGCACTATTTCATTTGTGACTATGGATAGACATATGTTTATGATTGATATTTTAGCTCACAAGTCAAGCAGGGTCAGTTTTTTAGGCTTGTTTAATTTTTGGGTTGGACTTGGAATGTAGATTTCTAGCCTACTCTACTAATAAAATATTTCTATAATTT